TGTAGATGAAGAGAGCGCGGCGAGCCAAAGAAGCACACTGCGACGCGCGGGCTGTGCAGCGCTCTCGTCTGCCGAATTTCCCGCATGCCGTGCGATTGGTTGGCACGCTCTGCGACGGCATCGCCTCTCCTCGAGGAGAGCGCGAGCGGCAGCGCGAGCACGAGGGCGACCAGCGATAGGCACCGCATCACGGGAACGCTGCGCCTCCGGCCGGCCAGAAGACACGGACGGACGTTTTACAAGAGAATTCTTAAAATACAAGCCTCTCTCACAGCACACTGGCACGACAAGGGCGCGGACTGGCGCGGACTGGCACACACACCGGCTCACCACAAAAGAAAGAAATTTACAAAAAAGAAAAAGTCTATATGACACAGGACAGGGTCCCCACATGCACGAGCAGAATGCCAGAAAAAATTTCTCTTGCCGTGCCTGTCGCGTGAATCGTGCTGTGCGACCGGGCAGTCCCTCGTCGATTCCTCTCTCTGCAACCTCCATGCCACCTCGCGTAGCTCTCTGCAACTGCTGCAGCCTCTCGCGCGGCTGCCCACACGAGTTCGTGTACCCCTAATCCCCTATCCTAGCTACCCGGGCGAGAAAGTCAGCTCGGGGTAGAGAGCGGCGGCTATATAAAAATCTGGCTTCGGTACTTGCGAGTAGCTTGAGGCTGCAAGAATTCTCTTCTGTGTGTGTGCCAGTCCGCGCCAGTCTGCGCCCTTGTCGTGCCAGTGTGCTGTGAGAGAGGCTTGTATCTTAAGAATTCTCTTCTGTGCGGCGCAACCATGAAGCTCTATACCTTCGCCGGCAACACCCACGCCCTGCAGACGCTCATCGTCGCTCGGTACAACGGCGTCGACATCGAGGTGCCGGCCTTCGAGATGGGCAAGGACAACAAGTCGGCCGCTTTTCTCAAGAAGAGCCCGCTGGGCAAGGTGCCGGTGCTTGAGACTGCGAGCGGCTGCATTTGCGAGGCGGCCGCTGTCGCCAGGCTCCATGCCCGCTCCCGGTCGGCCTCCTCCTCGCCGGCGCCCAGCTCCACGCGCGCTGCGCCACACAGGTACGTCGCACGCATGCGGGCCGATACAAACATGTTTGGCGCCACCTTTTTCGAGGCTGGCCAGGCGCGCGCTGCCCGCACAGCGCCGCAGCGCCCGGCCTCTCCGCGCCTTCGCCTCATCACCCCTCTCTCTCCTGCGGGCCGCTCCATTCGCGTTCAGGTGGACATGTGGGTCGAGTTTGCCAAAAATGAGCTC